TTCCATACACTAATTTTCCCACTATTCAAATACTTAAGAATATAAATTTTTTGTTTGTAATTGAAAAAGTTTGTATGACGTTAATAGAAAAAAAACAAAAACTGAATTTTTTTGTCTGACTTAGTATGATATATGTCATCTTATCATTCGAGATGAAAATCACATGTTAAAATGGCTAAAAACAAATAATTTAGTTTGCCAAGTGACTGAACTAACTGACAAAACCCTAATATTACAAAAACCTTCAAAATTTATCCCACTATATTATCTTAATTATAGTGGCACTCCCACTTTCTTACTTATGCATGCATCTCCGAGGCGCACCCTTGTCTAAGGCTTATAAAAATACACCTTATTTTGGTGTATAAATACAAGCTAAAATCATCATAACAATACACAATCAATCTATACGATCATACATCTTTTATTTCATCATAGATCATGGACCGCAAAATCTTTTCGTATTCATTTCTTTCTTGTCTTGCAATCTTAACTCTTCTCTTTAACGACTTCGTATCCTCGTTTCCTTCGGGATATAACAATGGTTATAATAATGGTCACGGATCATATGGAATTAGCACTAGTAATCTCGACTATCGATTCTATGACCGGTCTTGTCCTCGTCTTCAGACGATTGTTAAGTCTGGTGTATGGAAAGCTTTTAAAGATGATTCTAGAATCGCTGCGTCTCTTCTTCGTCTCCATTTTCACGATTGTTTTGTCAATGTAAGTTACGCAACAATTTTATTTTATTTTCACGATATTTATGGATTATATATCACTCGTGATCAAGACATGTAGTCTATTGCCGTCACTACATCACTCATATACTCTATACTTCTCTATATATATTATACAAATTAAAAATAGTTAAAAGGCACGAACACCCAAATTTTATATATTTTATAGTGGAAACTACTAAACTAAAGGCGCAATACTCAATATATAAGTGTATCAAACATATTATTTTGTTTCTGTACATAATTATGAAAAAAAGTAATTAAATTGTGTTTGTAGGGTTGTGATGGCTCTATACTTCTAGACGATTCAGAGGATTTCAAAGGAGAGAAGAACGCTGGACCAAACCGAAACTCAGTTCGTGGCTACGAAGTTATTGAAGACATCAAAACTGATATCGAAACTTCTTGTCCATTAACTGTTTCATGCGCCGACATAGTTGCTCTTGCAGCTAGAGAAGCCGTTGTCCTCGTACGTGTCATCTTGAAACCCCTAACTATATATATCAATCGAAAATGTAACAATTCTATATAATGAAATCATTTGTAAGAAGAATATTATCGATGCCATGCAGACCGGAGGACCGTTTTGGCCAGTTCCTTTGGGGCGAAGAGACTCTTTAACGGCGAGTGAGCAAGCCGCAAATACAAATCTGCCTTCTCCGTTTGAGCCATTGGCGAATATAACAGCCAAGTTCGTGAACCTTGGACTCGACCTCAAAGATGTTGTTGTCCTCTCAGGTTTGGTTAATTACCAACTTCTG